CAAGCACACACATGACGAGATGGTGAACACAGTTGGGGAATAGATCCACACTAAAACCGGCGTGATTACTGAGGCTGACCCTGCAGCCAGGGTGAGGACCCTGATGGTAGGGAAACAGCTCTGACAAGAGAACTTCGTACAAGAAAGGACTGTCTGCACAGGGATGATGTGGGAACAAGAGACTCACAAGTGCAGTTCCATTATCACGATGGCTTTTTTTTCCAGGAACAGCTGAGGATTCTGCTTCTGAGGTACACTTTTTCATAATAAAATCACGTCCTCCACTGGGCCCCCATTAAATCTGGAGAAACATATTTGAGCTCCAAACTGACTTTCCCTACCGGTTCATTTTCTTTCCACTGTGCCCTTCTGATCATTTTTTCTGAACCGTTATCTTTGTAAAACTTCTCTAATTGCTCCAGGAAAGCAGCATCACTACTGCCTGTCCACAGTGGACTTGCTTCTCCAGCCAGACTCCAGTGGTGTATTAATAGAATAACTGAAACTGGGTTAGGGCAGCAAGTGATTCCCAGTATGACAGCCCACCGGCCTTATGTGACTAGCAACAACAACCCCACGTATTGCTTCTAGTCTAAAATTAGAGTAGGAAGAAAAAGCCTAAGGAAAAAAAAAAAATAGAAGAAAAAGCCTAACCTTCCACACCACATGCAAACATCCCACCTGTAACTGTGTCGGTATATCAGGTATTCAAAGCTGCCTTCTCCTGAGTCAGTTATCCCTAATGCTGCCTGAGAAAGGAGTCTGTAAAAGAGATACAAACTTATGCATCAGTCAATATCTCCTCACATACCATCAGTTCTCCTGGACGTCTAAAGTCAGAGACAACAATATTTCTGCAACAAGCTGGCATCACAGGCAAAAAGATGGAAGGCAAAGAGGTAACCAAAGTACTGGATGAATTTTTAAGATGGTCTGAATTTTGTGATGGTCTGATTTCCCCCTCCAGTAGCTGAAGTGGATCTGAAATAGCATCAAACTTGTACCTCGTACTGAATGACATCAAAAAAAAAAAACAAAACCATCAATGATTTTCTAAGACTTTCCAAGGAAGAAAAGAAAGCAGTCTGCATTAAAGTCCTTGTAAAGCAATACTACAGAGATGCTGGAGGTTGAGGTGGGAAGGAGAAATCAGATAGACAGGGATTTGGCTTGTGGGAAGGAAAAGCAGGAGGGTGAGGTAGGCGAATGCCTGGATGTTTTTCTGACAGCAGGTGCTTGACTAGTTTGATGGTAATCCAGGTAGGCCATTGTTTAGCCAGAACAAATTTGCCAATATCTGGCAGCAGCCTCCGCCTTGCAGAGGTTTCCCAAAGCCTCAGGGACACCAGCAAGTACCCAGCCTCACTGTTCTGAGTACTACACTGTTCTGAGAACATAGGTATGGCCTGCTTCCCTGTACCCCTCCACTCCCTTAGAATCATAGAATCATCTAATCATATAATGGCTTGGGTTGGAAGGGACCTAAAAGTTCCTCAAAAGACCTTTTCCATCTTACTGCCATGGGCAGGGTTGTCAACCAATAATGTGAGACTATCCTGGAATCCACCAACATTGGCCCTAAATGCTTCCAGGGATGAGGCATTCATGTCTCTGGGCTCCAGTGCCTCACCCCCCCTGAGTGAAGGATTTCTTCTTAATATCTAACCTAAACATCCCCTCTTCCATTTTAAACCCATTCCCCTTGTCCTATCACTATCTACCTGTGTAAAAAGATCAGTTTCCCTCCTGCTTGTAAGCTCTTATCAAGCACTGAAAGATCACAGTGAGGTCTCCCCAGAGCCTTCTCCAAGCTATGCAATCCCGACTCCCTCAGCCTTTTATCATAGGAGAGTTGCACCAGCCCTCTGATCATTTCATGGCCCTCCTCTGGCTCCATTCTAGCAGTTCCAAATCTTTCTTGAGCTGGGAACAATTCCCTCCTTCTCCCTGCTGCCTCCCCTCTGTTAATGCAGCCCAGGATATCTTTGGCCTTCCAGGATGCAAGAGCACGCTGCTCTCTCATGTCCTGCATTTCATCCATCAGGACTCCCGTGTCCTTCTAGTAGGGCTGCTCCCAAGGAGTTCCTCTCCCAGTCTGTACTCATATCTAGGATTGCCCTGACCCAAGTACAACACTTTGCACTTGGCCTTATTGAAACTCATTAGGTTCTCCTGGGCTCATTTTTCAAGCCAGTCCTAGTCCTTTTGGATGGCATCCTTCCTTCTGTTTTATTGACTGCACCACTTAGCTTAGTGTCATCAGAAAACTTGCTGAAGGTACACTCGTACCACAGACTCAGTTGTTGATAAAGACATTGAAGAGCACCGGTCCCAAGGCAGACCTCTGGGGGACACCACTTGTGGATGACCTCCACCTGGATGTGAAGCCACTGACAACAGTTGTCTGGCTGTGATCATTCAGCCAATTCATTATTCACTGAACAGTCCATCCCTCAAATCCATGTCTTTCCAATTTAGAGATAAAGATATGAGGTCGGAATCTAGGTTCTTTTCACAGCCATGACTCAGGTCCTTGTTTGGACATTAAAAAATGCCATCAACCCCTCCTAGTTCAGAGCCACAATCCATACCTTCTTCTCTCTCCCACACCAGACCTTGATATCTATTGGATAGTGGGACTTCTGAGGCAAGGGAGAGGCTTCTCCATTTGCCCTGAGCAGAGACAAGCACAGTCTCCCTCATCCTGCACACATTCACCTCCTGTCAGATGGCAAGCCTGCTTATCTTCGTTTCCTGGCTGGGCCCCAGGACAGTGCTGTCTGTCTGCCTGTGCCACCATATGGGATAAGGCATCGGTCTCTCTTGCTCTGACTGCTGAATACATCTCAGACTGGTGACTTCCTCTTGCAGCCTGGTCAACTGCTCAGAAAGATCACCATGTTGGGCATCCCTGCACCCATGGCACCCCTCCACATAACAGCTAGCCTCCAGATTGCAGAGCTCCTCATAGCCAAGGGTGTGTGCAGCTCTCTCAGTCCTCTGGAGGTCGGTCTGAGTGCACAAATCAGCACAGAAAGGCTGTGAGCCCCCCTGTCAGTGTTTCTGTCTCAGCTTATCTGCCACGCCTGGTGGTCACAATGGAGAGCTCTCCTCTCGCAGTCCCAGATGACAAAAGCAGCATGCCCTGCTTGCTCTTCCTGCTTCCCATGCCAACTGCCAGCAGCACGCTCTCCTGACACACCATGCCCTGTTTGCCTGTTCTGTTCACAGCAGCTGTCCACAAGTGGACAGAGGGAGCCCAGGACGAAGGAAGGGGCTCTGCTCTTCCCAGCAGGAAGAAGCAAGACCATGGTAACTGGGAGGCAGAGAAGACTCAGCCTGGGCACAGGGAAAACCAGCCCAGTCCAAAACTGTGGACATATCCCTCCTTCCCATCATGGCCATGCTGTGAGTTTTAGCATCACAACTCATTACCTTCATACTGATGGCACAGACACCAACTTCCCCAAGCAGGACCTTCCTGCTGTCAACTACAGCACATCTCAAAGAATCTGGTGACTTTCGCCTCATCCAAATTTGTTCCACTGGAAATCTCTCACTCCGTGCACACCCCAGCCAACTCCATTACTTCAGAAGAGCAAAGCTTTTGGCTGTCATGTATCTTTCAGAGTGAGTTAGCAAGGCTGCATGCTTGCAATTCCCAGCTCAGTTTGTGTCTCCTCTCCAGCATCAGTGCACCCACGAGTCCTGTGCTGCAGCACCGCCACCAGCTCCTGCAGATCTGGAGATGCTGCTGCTGGGTGGATATGTTTATACCCGTAAAAATTAGTGTTGCAGCTCCACCTAACTTAAGCAGTTTTGCTTAGGAAATTACAGTACGTCATTCGAGTGGCTGTTCTAAGCACGGAAGAGAAAGTGGGTACTGGCAGAATGTTTTTAATTAAGCAGGAAAAAGCTAGATTAAGCTGTATCAAATGGAAAGTGTCTCTTTAATTCTGTATTGTCAATCTCCTAGGCCAGGGCATAAGGGGCTGGCCTTAAAATTCTTGTAACTATAAAGCCAGTCTCGTGACCGACCATATAGTTGATTAAACACAACTGTGGGCTGCCCCTATCAGGAAGAGCGATTTTCCCAGTGTAGCTTCCAGTCTAAAATACCTCAAGGGTAATTACAGACCGCCATCCAATGCAGAAGGCTTTGAAGTGGGAGACGGAAAGATTAGGGTGGCTGAGACGAGCCACCAGCCGCCGCAGGCCACGGGCAGCCCAGGGGCACAGCAAGGTGATGTGGAGTTGTGGCCCTGATGAAAGTTTCAAGCCACCACAGTCCTCCTTGCCTTGTGTTTGGCACACCTCACTGCTTGCAGCTGGACTGACCACAGAGCAGGGAAGTGCCTTCTCTGAGCAACTGAATTATTTATCCTGGGAGCCAATGCACAACGTGTCGCTGGGCGCTGAATGGGACTCTTTTGGCGACTGAAGGAGCAGGCACAAAACCAGCCCCAAAGCAAAGAGATCCAGCTTTTATTTCCAATTAATAACAGGTTAGAAGTAAAAACTGCTGTTAGTGACAGAACATACATAACAAGCAAAGCAACCTACATTGTTAAGAGGGCTATTTAAAGAAAGGTTAATGAATTGGATTTGAAGTTCTTCTTAGTCAAGCAGGAAACAACTAATGGTTTAAAGAGGAAAAGTGAAGCACTATTAAATGCTGAATATTTATTGTGTCAGTGACCAGTTTGCCAGAGGCTTTGAGGTGAGAAGGGAGATTCAAATCCTTTCTGCTGCATTTACAGCTACAGAGAGGGAAATTCATAGGCTTTCTCGCATGGCATACAAAGGCTCAGTAATTTGTTTGGATTAATAGCATATTGGAGAAGCATAACACTCACACTTTAAAACTAACAAATTCAGCAAGTGCGCAGAATTATCATTTAACCATTACTGTCTTCATAAAAACAAGTGCTCTTAATGCTTTGCAGTACATCTTTAAAGTGCTTTAAAAGCCAACAGCTAATTTATCCCTCCATGCCTACCTCGTGTCAAGCAGAAATTGTTATCTCCCCTTCGCAGTCCAGCGAGCAGCAGTTAGATAAGTGACTCACTCAGGGCCACCAAGTTGGCTTCAGAGCTGGGTGTGCAGTGTGCCAGCTCTGAGGTGTGCTGCTGCTCTTAGGCAACTTTAGGTGACTCATGCATGGTGTGCCACTAATTAAGGAGTCTGGGAGGCCCCTTTGCCTTCAGAATTAGCTCTTCTGTTTCATGTTGACATTTCAGCATGTGGGTGGCTCCCTCCTCAGAGCTACAGGAGAACCAGAGTTCTCCAGACAGCCCTGCTCCTCCATCCTGGCACAGCCACACAACAGTCGTAGGATACACACATGCCTGTGCAGTGCACGCCACCATCTGCTCCTGGTAGCAGTGGTGGTCTGGAGCTACCTCTAAATCTCTACATCTCTACATCCCTACACCTCTCTACATCCCTACACCTCTCTACATCTCTACACCTCTACAGCTCTATGTCACCCCAATGGGTTGGCAGCCATCCTGCCAGGGCTCAGCCACAGCTCCCCTGCACTCTGCACCCCCAGGTGTTCACATCCAGAGGTACTGAAGTCAGTGGCAGGAATTTCACACAGCGCAGAGAAGGATGGCAGAGCCAAAACATGGGCATGATTTTCCCTGAAGAGCAGCCAGGATGGTGTTAGGCTTTGTAGGTAATAGCACCCAACGAAAAGAAAGTAGTTAAATTAAGAACTGAATATGCGTGAAATGTTACCCACTAAAAAATACTCACTAGTTGTCCAGACACAAGTGTTTTAATCACATCACAGCCCTTGTCTGTACTCGACTCTTCGGTAAGGCATTGCATCGATGCTATTTTTTTCAAATATCAGCAAAAAGTCTAATTCTGTAAATCAGAGCTTGCAAAGGTAAAATCTAACCTCCAAAATAACATTTACTGAGTCTTATTTATGTGCACAATATTTTATATTAAATACCTGTGCACATATTCACTATTTGTTTAACATCCACAAACCAGTTATATCCACACTTGGACCTACTACACCTGTAGTTCCACCGAAAAAAAATAGCATATTTAAAACTCTGCAACCATGCACAATTTTCCTTGAAGGCAAGGAATAATCAGCCAGAATTACACAAATATCCTATACTCATATACTCATAGCAACCCAGTTTTTTTGATTCCAGCTAACTCCAGCAATTGCTTAATCGTGTGCATTTCCCAAATAATTTACCAGATAAACTAAGGGTTGGATATCTCTTGTGAATGTAACTAACTGACTCCCATACAAATAATATAATCTTCACGAAAAGGAAAACAAATGGTTTTACTTGCTAGCAGACATGCGCAATCATCTGAAATTCTGTCTAATTAAAGCATTAACTTTCTATAGAGACTCTGATGTTTGCTCAGAAGAGGGGTAAAGCAGTGATGTTTGCAGATATCATTTCAGTTGCATTGCTTCCAGGGAGTATTTTATTTGTACAAACCTAGAATCCTTCTCTACTCCATGTAAAAAATAGATTAGTCCCTTGATAGCCTTGAAAGTCAAATCACTCACAAGAAAATTAATAATGCGTTACAAAGTATATAAATTTTAAAAATTAGAGGCAGTAGGCTGTAATGGTCTGAAGACCACTGTCCATCCCCTCTCACATCTAGCTTCCGAGGAGAGTTTAACACCTTCTGCCCCAGCAGAGCAGAAGAGTAGTAGCAGCAGAAGTGCAGTTATTTCCTGGCAGCATCGCAGCAAGCTCCGTTATCCCCAGCCACCCCCAGGTGCTGCAGAGCTTTGGTCTGGGGCAAAGGTTCTGGCCATCCCAAGGGAAGTGAAGGCAGCACCGATGTTCCTTGGTTCCCTGCTCCCAGTGAGACCCTCATTCAGAAGATGCTCCCAAAAGACTCACACATCTCAGGGGCTCATGGGTGCCCATCCCATGCTGAGCAGACTGTGCCCCTGCAAGGTGCTCTTAGTGATAGGGTGTGTGTAGGCAATGCAATCTGATGCTTTGCTGTGCCAGAATAACGGGATGCGCCGAGTCTGAATAAAATCTGATATTCAGTAGTTCTTTGGCAATTGATTCAGCTCGTCAGTGGTTAACTGGTGTTTTAAAACTAAACAAAACAGAACAAAACAAAACAAATGGAAGAAAACGTGCAATTGCAGGATAAATACATCATGCACTGAGCAAAGCGAGGAACATGAGACATTGTGTGCAGGCCAGCCTTGTAGCAGAGCTTGCTGTAAGGCTAATGACCAAGAAAGAATTGCTTAACTTAAGAAGCAATATAACTGCAGTTTGATCTGTGTAACTAAAGTGTGCCACCCATCTTTCTGCATGTTTCCATTAGAAGTCCACTCAGGAGCTAGTCATGGTAGTTGGAAAGGAAATGGAAAGGAAGGAGGGAGCCCAGATCTCTGCCACCCAATGATGTTGCCAGATTTTGTCACAGTGCAGTGTACCACTGCAGTCCTGGGAACACCAACAGACTCCCATCCTTATTTCAGAAACGCAAGGCAGCACGAACATCTTCTTTGCAGCTGATACAAATACTCAGATAAAATAAGCGACTGGCTTTTATATGACTGTCACCCTACCAAAAAAAGAAAAAAGAAAAAAAATACAACAGAAGAAGCCCACTACATTGCATTCTCTCACAGTGAGAAAATGAGTCACTGAGCCTCCCAAATACATGGGATAATGAGTGCACAGAATATTTACCAGGGGAGTTCCAATCTGAGTTTACCCGTGGAACACTATTCAAGAATTTCAAAATTCACTATAAAATGCTCGCTGGATTTCTGTGACACCCAGAATAAGCATAACAACGTCTTTGTAATCTCTCACCCTGAAAAGGAAAGCAGTGCAGATCAGAAATAAAGGTGTGCACGTTGCCAGTGCAACTGTTATCGCTGTGCCCTTTGTGCTGAATGTTGGACTTGGCACAGCCTTGGCAAGCACACAAAGCTAAGAGAGAATGTGTGGTGACATGCTGAGGGCACCCAGCAGTTCTGCCAGTGAGTCCTAGGACTGTGCAAGAGCAGGAGGAGGGAATGGCCCCAAAGGAATCCATGTGGTCTCCTCAAATTCTGGTGCGTGCTTTGCACAAGCTGAGAGACTTTCAGGTGCTGGGAGAGCAACGTGCCAGAGAAGGAAGGAGGTGATGGCTGCTTTATGCTCAGGGCTTGTACAAGTAGGCAGGAATTGCTGCTCCTGCTGTAGCCTGCATTCAGGTGTGCAAAGCACTTCTGGCCTCAGCCCTCTGTGTAGACACAAAGCTGTATCGATGGTTCAGAGAGAAGGGCTTCAAAGCCAAACCGTGCACATAAAAAAACAAGTTGCAGTAAATTGATCTATTGATTACAAACGACTAATTATTCTGCTAATAATAGCAGAATAACTATGATTGGAATATATGTCATAAGTGTAAATATTCACATTTCTTTGCTCTTGAACAAGGTCTGTTTTTGCATGCATTCTAACTCGGCTTCTCTTCGTTGGTGCTGTACTGTATTGCAGGCAGAGTTGTCAAGCATCCTGGAGCCACAAGTATTCTTCAGACTTCTCATTAACAAACAGGCTTCCAATCTCAACATGCATTATCAAAATGAGATCTTTTCTCAACAGCTTACAATTACATATTATACATTTACATGCTTACAATTGGTGACACTATATTGTTAGATTTCAGCACTGACTTTTAACAGTGTGCAGCCTAATTATGTTTTGCATTATATTCTGAGCATATAGGAGTATTTTATTCATGACCCCACTTTATTCTGTAATTTGTTTCTCAATAAATGCAAAATAATAAAATCCCAAACCCTGGTGTGCTGAGTATTTTTATTGACCCAAGCTTTCTACTAGTAAACACAACTTTGATGGTTTCATAAGTGAAAGTTTATTAGGCTCTGTTAGTTTTAAAATACAATTGCCATGGGACTGATGTTGAAATCATTTCTTACAAGACAAACTTGGTTTTGGATGCCTTCCCAGCACAAGCACCACAACAAAAGCAAAATGGCTATCCTGAGTCATGACATTTTGCATTCCTTCTTGCAGTGGCAAATTGCAGTTTCAAGATGTAATGTTGCCTGCTACTTCTGTGGAAGGAAAACAAAAAGAAAGCACTAAAAGCCCTACTTCTGGTTAGTATTTTCAGGTAAGCCTCTCAAGCAATGAACCAAATACCATCCTTGGAGAGCCCTTACCTGGTAGGTGCCAAGTCTGTCTGTCTGTCATGACAGCATATAGATGGTGACTAATATTGCCTTTAGTTGCTTCATCTATTTAAATTATTTTTTCCCTTTTTTTTTTTTTGGGGGGGGGGGGGGAATTATCTCTGTGTCTGAGAGTGAAATACCTCCAAGAAGTCCCTCGCATCCTCTGATGAGTGTCCTAGTCCAGAGACAGAAGCTTGCAGATCCAGCACTTCAGCTAAGGGGATATTTTCCAGCACCACAAAAAGCTGTGTGTCTGGCATCAGACAAGCAGCATTTCAGTGTGGGCCACTTCCCAGGAGCCTTCTGGAAGGAAACTTGAAATGGGGACTCGAGACCACAGCGAGTGCACAACAGCATCTATATGCAGGACCTCTGAGCTGCCCAGCAATTTTGCCACTTAATCTGACCCCCCACACATTCAGAAATGGCATCCATGCCTCAGTAGACTTTCATTTTAAGCAGCCAGAATCACAGAATCATGGAATGGCTGGGATTGGAAGGGACCTCAATGTCTATCCTGCCCCACTCCTTGCCATGGGATGGTTGCTCCCCATCAGATCAGGCTGTCCAGGTCTCCATCTAGCCTGGCCTTGGGCACGTCCTGGGATGGGGCATCCACAGCTTCTCTGAGCAGACCGTTCAGAAAACTTCACATCTGCCCCCCATAGCACCGGGGTTTTCCTACATCCAAGGCTTTGATCACCTCTCTACAAAGCAGCAGGACCATACAGCCCCGGGGATGGATGTTGCTGCATGCCCTTGCGGGTCCTCACAGGCAACACATGCCCATTGGCTCCTCACTGAGCCAGCACCCCTTCCATGGAACTTCCTGTGTTCCCTCTTACCTAGGAGTGAGCCACAGCTGCT